CAAATATTATGGTTTGCTTGATTGCAACTAGGAAAGACCTGAGGGTATCCATCATCTGGGGGACAGTGGCTAACCCCTGGGAACAGCCACCTGGGGTGGAAGAGTGCCATGACATGGACAGCCAGGGATGTTGGGCCTGTCCTGTTACTGGCAGTCTGCTTCTCTGTACTTGACAGGACCAAGTGACCTTGAACCCTATGGCTCCTTGAGTCTTTTCCTGCCCCCAGTGTCCCTTGTGAGAGATCCTAATTTAGAAGCTCAAATCAGGCCTTCTGAATTTTTGACCATTTCCTGTAATTTGCCTGTATTTCACTCCAGATCCCAGTCTCTGGGGTTCTGACCTCCCTGATACCCAGGTTCTGAATTTCTCCCTGTTGGTATCTAATGCCGTCTTTGAGTCTGGGCTGGACCTTAACTGTCACTGGATTTGGCAACTTGGCCAGAGGACCTCAGTCCCTTCCCTTAAAGACATCGGGCCCTGTGTGTCCCCTTCCTTCATCGTTCTGGGCTTGGTGTGCTCCCTGATTCCCCTGCCTCTTCCCCACTTCCCTCTGTCTTCCCCCAAGGTTTCGAAGGACCTTTGGGGAGTTTGGACGGACATGGCAAGGTGCCAGCTTCTCAGCCTCGCATGCCTCTGTGAACTCTGCTGAACTCGCTCACGGCATCCTTGCTGAGGCTGAGTTATGTCCCCTCCTGAGAACCCACTTCCTGCCCTTACCCGGAGGACAGGGCTCGGGGTTTGAAGGGAGAGGCCCTTTCTAGTCCCGAGAGAGCCCACAGCTCTGTTTTGATGTCCCACACTCACAGAGGCCGTCAAGCCTTCAGTGGGCACCACTTCACATGCACTAGGATGGATGTTGGTGGGGATGTGGAGAAGCTGGAACCCTCATGCGTTGTTGGCGGGAACGTGAAGTGATGTAGCCACGGGGGAAAGCGGCCTGCACAGAATTATCATGTGACCCTCGCCATTCCATTGCAGGTGTATCTCAAAAAGAACAGGAAACGAGCTCAGAGAGAGATTTGCATAGCCAAGTTTGTAACAGCATTATTCACAACAGCTAAAAGGGGGCAACGACCTCAATGGCCATTAACAGATGAATGGGTAAACAAAATGGTCTATATGTACACAGTGGAATAGTATTCAGCCATGAGAAGGATGGAAATTCTGATGTGTGCTGCAACGTGAGCCTGGAGTTCATTATGCTAAGTAAGATAATCCAGGCCAGAAGGACAAATATTGAATAGTTCCATCTATAATAGGTACGTAAAGCATCAAATTCATAGAAACAGAAAGTAGAGCTGTTGCCAGGACCTGGACGAGGGGAAACAGGGACATTTTGTCAATGGTATGGAGTTTCCACGATGGATTGAATGAGTGTCCTGCAGTGGCCCACGTGTTAAAGGCTTGGCCCCTGACCTGTGCCCCTGTTGGAAGGTGGTAGAACAGGTCACCTGGGGCCTGCCCTTGAAGAGGTACTTGAACCAGGTCCCCTTCCTCTCTCTTTGCTTCTCAGTCACTATGAGGTGAGCAACTTGCTGGGCCCTGTGTTCCTGCCCTGATGTGCGTCTTCACCTCAGGACGAAGAGCAGCCTGACCAAGTGGCATGGCTGGAACCTCCAAGACTGTGCCCAGGAAAATCTTTGTCTTTATAAGTTGGTCATCTCCAGTGCTTTGTTATGGTGGTGGAAAGCTGACACAGTTCTGTTTAGGACGATGGAAGAAAATCCCGGAGATGGTGGCGGTGTGGCTGCACAACATCGTCACGGTATTTAAAGTCACTGGGGTATGTTTGAAAGGGTTAAAGTGGGAGTTTTTTGTTACACGTTTCAACACAGAATGAATGATACACAGGCATGTTAATGTGTGTGCTTCGAAAGCCGCCAACATGCAGATTAGGCAGTATCCTACAGAGATAGAGAACTCAGATGGCGAAGTGGCGTGGCAGCTCGTGACACCTATCAGAGCCAGAAACGTTGATGGGAAAACTACAGAGTATGCGTCCTCTCCAGCTAGGTGGCACCACATGCAGTGGTACTTGTTCATACTTAACTAAACACAAAGCCGGATTCCAAATGAAAGCACCCTACTCGGTATTTTTATAACACACTTTTTGAAAATAGTAAAAGTTTATTTTTCATGCCAAGAATTGCACCACCCACTCTTCTATTACGGAATTGAAGTGGTACAAAAACGATGTGGAAAGGAAAGATGAAATAAACAGCACTCAGTGAGGAGAAGAAAAGGCCAAAGTTCAGCACAGCAAGGGCCCCGGGTCCAGGAGGCAGGTTTGGGCTCTGCTGTGCACCAGCCAAGTGGTCTTCCAGGACCAGGGGTCGGCCTGGGGCCGTCGCTCCATTCCATGTGTGTATCCTGAGCGTCTTTGAGTGAAGGACTCTTCCAGGTCTCCCTGTCCTCTGGGAACCACAGGAAGACCTGGTCCTGGCCATTCTGGATCTCATAGTCTGGCAGAGGAGGCCCTCTGTACCTTACTAAGGGTCACCCATCTGCCACCCTCTTCATTCTCCCGCTCCCCTGAGCCCTGGCTGCTCCTGGGTGTTGTGCCCCTCAGGTGTGCCCTCTGCCTCTCCTGCACTGGCTGCATCCTGCTTGCTCAGCCACTGCTTGTGCAGAGTTTCCTTCTCCACTAGGCCATCCGTCCCAGAGCTGCGATCAGCCAGGGCACACAGGACACACAGGACACACTGAGCACAACAGACACACATGAAATCTCTTTGCGGCTCATTTTTATAATTTTAAAAATAATGATTAGTTAGGAAACTGTGGACAACAGGCCCGTTGGGGGTTGCCACCCTAGTCCAGGAGTTCACTCAGGGACTGAGCGGGGAGGAAGGAGCTGGGAGCAACACTGTGCACATGGAATTACCGCATTTGCAGCCCAGTCCTGAGAGCAGCCTGAAGGGGACCAAGCAGGCCAGCGCTGGCCACACCCACCAGTGGACACAGGAGCATCAGGTGGGTGGGTGGGGCAGGTACGCCAGGCTGCAGGGCGTGGAGGCAGGTGGCAGGTAGAAGCCCAGGCAGGTGGTGGGTGTTGGAAAAGCAAAATCTAGGGTGGGAGGGTGAAGCACAGGAAGCCAGGGTGGGCCTCGTGCGTCAGTCTGGGCAGAGTTAGTTTCCTAGGAGACTGGCAGTGGACAGGAGGCTGCCTGGGGTGGAGGAGGTGGACTCCCTTGCAGGCCTGGCAGGGTGAGGCAAGGACCAGGCTGGGGAAGGGAGGTACCTGTGACAGCTGGGCACAGGGTGGGGACTTGATTATCAGGGAAAAGTGGAGGCACGGATGTCGCAGGGTCTGGTGTTGATTCTGTTCTCCCCTCATTCAGTAAATACCAAGGGTGTCACGCTGTGCCGCCTCGTGCGCTGCTGCACCAGGGGAGGTGAGCCGGGCCAGAGGGGCCTGCGGTGCACAAATGCATAAGTGAACAGTGTAGAAGGGCAGGTGCCTTTACAGGAGTGACAGGTCCCCAGTGACTGGTTGTCTGAAGGACTAATAGAAGAAGCTCCTGTCGTGTGGCACCTGTGAAGCTGCAAGTCCATGCGAGGAGAATGGAGGCCGAGAGGAAGCGAGTGTGGTGGAGGAGAGCTGGTGAGGGACTGCGAACAGAAGAGGGCCCTAGCGGAGGCACCAGGGAGCATACTACCAGGCCTGGAGCGGGTGGCGCGGCACTGGGGCTTTAAGAAAACTGAGGGCCGGAGAACTTCAGGACAAGGGGTGTCTCGGGGCCGAGGGTGGTCCCAGGGGAGCAGGACTTTACTCCCCCCAGCCTGCAGAACTGCCCTTCTGTGTCCTCACGTAGAAGAAGAGGGAACTGCTTCCTTCCTCATACAAGACTCGGGCCTGTCGTGGGAGTGCCCTCCCTCCACCTCGTCTGAACCCGGTCACCTCAGGCACCATCACCCGGGGCAGGTCTTCCACACGGATTTAGAGAGGAGGGGACAGGAGCATTGAGTCCACAGTGGGGGTGACTGGACATTTCAGAATGACCCCTCGCTGCTCTGTGGATGGGGTCTGTGTGTAGTTGTCTGTGCCTGTGTAGACGCTGAGGGTTTGACAATAAATTCCTTTTGCCCAGGACTGGAAAAATTCCAGAGTCTGGATTTGGGCAAATTCGAGTTGCACTAGTCACTGGCAGGTCAGTGCAGTGTGTGCGTGTGTGCGAGCTCTCCTGTGCTCCTGCAGAGGTGGAGAATGGAAAGGGAAGGCGAAGGAGGGCGGGAGGAGAGAGAGGCACAGATGACCCTGGGTCCCAGGGTTTCCGTCACAGCCACCCTAGCAGAGCACCAAGCCACCTCGCATCTCCGCGTGGCTCCCAGAGGTGGAGTGGACGCAGCGCATCTGCAGACGGTGCCCTCATCCTGACAGAGTGAACACTCCTGGGTCACCAGCAGCCAGCTCCATTAAGAGAACGTCCAGGGCCCCTTCAGGTCCCCTCTGGCCATGGCCACTCTCCCAGGTCACCTCTGCTCTGGATCCTGGTGGCCTGGATTAGTCTTGCCAGTTGGCGTACCTAAGATAGATGGCTTCACTGGATTCTGTTTTAAAGTCGACTCCAAAGCTGTTTTGAAGCTTTTCCCAAAGTGACATCCTCACTGGGAAAGGGGCAGGAGGGTGAATGAAGACATGCTCTGGCTTCCACGATGGCTCACAAGTGAACGGCGCCACCCGTGTGCTCCAGGGTGGCTTTAGATCAGGGCAGCGGCCCATCACGGGACACCAGGTGCCACTGTCCTAGCAGTCTCACCCTCTGCCCTGCTCGGTGGCAGACCCCCATGGCGCTGCCAGGAGGAACGGAGTGTGTGGCTCCAATAGGACTGCTCAGGAGAGGCCCTGGATGGTGTTGCCTGACAAATCCCACCCTTGGTCTTTAGCAAAGCAAAATATAAGAAGATCCTAAGTGGAAAGGAAGTCAATCAATTTATATTCCACGTGTGTCTTCAGCTCCACAACATTTTGAAGTAGACATTTTATTGTATTTTGCAGATAAGGAAACTGAGGCTCAGGAAACAGTCTCAAGACCACCCAGCTGAAGACCCCTGGATCACTTCCTGCTCTGCAGCCGTCTCTGTCACACTGCGTCGCTTCTCTGGACCATGATGTCTCAGCAGCACTCTTCCCTCTCTCTCCCTTTATCACTTGTGATTTTTAAAACATAGGAAGGAATATATGTTTTATTCAGCAAATGAATGAGACTCTTCACATCAGCGAGACCCTCATGTGTTGAATTGGGTCTTGGGTATTGAGCAAACAGTGATGATCAGACACCACAGGGCTTCTGCCCTCGTGGAAGTTGGTTCAGTGAAAATTAACTTCAGGTGAAAAATTCTTTAGGTGAAAACACCTAAAGAAGAAATCGCCAGATGTGTAAGAATCAGAGGGGTTAGGAAAAGCTGTAATGTGGTCTCACTACGCCAGGGATTTCAGAAAAAGCTCTTTGAGAACACCAGCTTGAGTGGAGTTCTTGGAGTGAGTGGGCACTAACAGGGTGAAATGGTGGCAGGAAGGGTGATTCCAGATATAAGGAGGTGCATGTGCAAAGGCCCTGGGGTGTGTGTTTGGGTCTGAACCATTGTGAGCATGAGAGGATGAAAGAAGAACAGTGTGGCTCGAGTGCAGACAGCAAGGCAGGACACTTGGGGAAATGCAGGAGTGAGACCGTGGGGCCAGACGGGGCTTCCCGAGCCATGAGAGTCTGCAGCCACAGCACAGTGAGTTTTTACTGAACGGCAAAGATAAAGAAACACCAATTTTCAGCTTCCTTTATCGTCTCCTGTATTACAGAGAATGCTTTGTAGCAAAGTGTGAATGTCCCTTGGAATTAACATTATTTGTTTCCTTTGGGGAAATATGTTCGTCCCACAGTGCTCTCCAGAACCAAATTAAAAATAAACATCTAAACCAAATTAGGCTGCCTAGAAACACTGATAGCACGAGCCAAAGGCAAGCCAAGTTAAAACGCTGAGTTCATGTCAGGTGAGCATAACTCACGTCCAGTAAGACTCACCCTGTGTGATTTCTAAGAAGGCCAGCTCTGTCCATTGACCCAGGAGCCTGCCTTGCACAGTGGGAGGGGGCAGGTGCTCCCAGCACCTCACTCTGGGGCTGTAGGTGAGGGCTTGGTCACTGTGGTTCAGGCTACATCGCTTCGGGCAAGTTCATTTCTGCTTTTTTCACACTGTATTTATTCCTTAGATGCACAGAGCAGGCAGCAAACCCACAACTACCTATACCTTAGATTAATGGTTCTCAGCCAGTGTGTGGCAGACCCCTAGAAGACTTGAAATGATTTCAGGGGAGTCTGAGACCCCATGGACATAGAACAGGTAAGGTCACGCCTCCCCCCAGTTTATAAATTGTGCATAGATGCTTTGTGATCATGTGGATTTACTGTCTCTTGGTCCAGTTAGTTTTAATCAGCAGGGAGTCCAAGTATGCCTACTCTGCTGGAGGTGGCCCTTCCAGGTTGTTGACATTTAGAAGGGGGCCTCCTGCTCAGAAAGTATGCAGATTAAGCAGTCGGCTCCTGGAGGCTTGGCAGCATGCAGTGAGGGTTGTGGTCACTTCTCATCCTCGCCAGGACGGGCTGGTGCGAGGACCAGGAGACAGAGGGGCAAGGCCGTGATGGCGAGCAGAGGTCGCTAGAGAAGCATCACCTATGCAGATCCAGGAGGAGAGTGCTCCCGCAGCTAACCCTGCTGAGCTCCCCTCCAAAGGCACCACGCGCCCCTGGCTGGGAGGCTGGGCGTGGCTACCTCACGTGCTCCTGAGCTGAGGCACACTCCTAGACACCTGTTCTGCCAGAGGCCTCTACATCCCTGGCGGGCGGCTTGGGATCTGTGTGGAGGGAGGGCGGCCGGTGGTGCCCAGGAGAGAGGTGCGTGAGTGGCCAACCCTCTGAGCACGTACATTTTGCTTCAACCTGGGTTTTGTGTGAGAATCCAATGTGTTTCACCTGTTTTGCTTGGCCAGTTAGGATTTGGGTATTTCATACTCATTTTCAAGAGACAAATGAAGACTCCAGGGTCACGAGGACACTGCCACTGCTCACAGTACTCTCTGTCCTGTGGTCCCCTAGGTGTAGTGGGAAGGAGGGGCAAGGAAAGGTTCCAACACCCGGTGGCCTCTGCACACCTGCTTTCCCACGCAGGTCTGCAGTTCTTACTTCCCAACAGCGAGGGGATGGTTTTCTCACTTTCCCTTTGCATCCACTGAGGCTCAGAGAAGCCCATGACTTGCCCAGGGTCAGGGAGGCAAGAGGAAGGACAGGGCTCTGAGCCAGGGCTGCCCAGTTCCGTCTGCGCTCTTCCTTGCTACATTCTGGTTACCCTCAAGTGGCAAGAAGCGGCTGCCACAGGACATTGGCACGGGGGCTTGCTTGACTGCGAGGCAGGTCCGGGTCACTGAGTGGTGAACTGGGTGACAGCTGCTCTTATGGTAAGGTGGTGAGCGACCGTGATGATGGCAGCTTAGGCGTGTGGTGAGTCAAGACGACTCCTCCCAGGGGCCTTCCCTGTGGAGCCTGCCTGTCCCGCCAGCCTGAGCATCACTTTAAATCTGGGCTGGGTCACCACCAACAATTAATGCCAGTTCACGTTGACTTTAATGTGTGTGCATATGTCACCCGTCTCTCTTCCCCCTGGGTGATTTTCAAAACTCTGCCATAAAAACAAACAAAAACAAAGAATGACAAGCCCAAGCAGGTGGAGAATCGCTGGGGAACTGAGGAAATGCGGTTCTCTTCTTGGCAGTCGTGATGCCTCCTGATTCCCTTTCCTGGCCCATCTTTGCCGACTGGAAGTGGAGCTCTGTCGTCTCCTGGTGCCTGAAGACAGCAAGGCCACTCTGCCTTTTCTTCCCTGACCCTCCTAAACTTTCCTCCCACGCTCAAGGTCCGGAGAGCTCTGCTGACGCAGGAGAAGCGGCCGATGGAGGTCTTGAGGTGTTCCGCTCCAGGCGTGGGACCTTCCCCCGAGGTCCTTTTCACTAGGTCTCCTTGAGTTTTCCCAGGTGGCCTTAGGTGTTGGAAAGAGGTCACAGAAATTCCCAGCAGAGATCTTGGTCATTTCTGGGCCTGAACTTCATACCAGGGCAGCCCAGAGGGCTGGTGGTGACCAAGGAAACCATGCTGGTTTAGGAGGGCTGCAAGAGCGATGGAGGGCCACCAGCTCCTCTCCTGAGGGTGTTCACAGAGCCCTGTGGTGGTGACCGTCACCAGGGGCTCCTACCTCAATACTGATGTCCATAAGGGCAAGGGTTACATGACCCGAGGACTGGGGAGGTGATGACTCTCATGTCACTCGAGGGCAGCCTTTAGCTAAGATTTACCCGTGTCACCTGTGTCACCCACTGAGTAGCTGTGTGCCCTTGGGTAAGGTATTTTCCTGCTTCACAGAGCTCAAGGGCCTCTGAGTGTGAGATGACCCCACGTTGAGACTGTTCTGCCAGCGAGCAGCACCAGCAGCTTGCCCACCCCTGCCTTCCTGGGGCATTTGGTCCAGAGAGGACAGAGCTGGCAAAGACCCAGTGTGGGCGAGCTTTCCTATGTGTTTAAAAACAGAAGTTTCCGTCAGAAAGCTTAACCGACAACTAACTTCACTCAATTAAAATAAAAATGAATGATGGTTACCAAAATATCTGCACCATCAAAAGATTATCACTCTGAATGTAGTGCATAAATCCTCAGTGTTATAATCATGGGATGATTGAAAGGCTGTTTTTTGTCTGCTTGTTTTTAGTATTATAAGTGTGATTCCATACTGGTTATCTGTGAAAAAAAAAATCAGATTTTTTTAGGGAAGGGGCTATTGAAGATTGCACCCAGGGGTGCTTTACCACTAAGCTACATCCCTATCCCTTTTAAAGTTTTTTTTTTAAAATATTCATTTTTTAGTTGTAGCTGGACACAATACCTTTATTTATTTAATTTTTATGTGGTGCATAGGATCGAACCCAGGGCCTTGCACGTGCTAGACGAGCACTCTACTTCTGAGCCACAACCCCAGCCCCTGTTTTAAAATTTTTGTATTTTGAGACAAACTCTCACTAAGTTGCTTAGGACCCCACTAATTTGTTGAGGCTGGCCTCAACCTTGGAATCCTCCCGCCTCAGCCTCCCAAATTAGTGAGACTACAGGTGTGTGCCACCATGTCCAGTGAAAAATATCTAATTTTGAACAAAATTAGACTGTTACATATGCTGAGAGCCACGGCTGAGTCTGTATGGCCCCTGGCATTTTGCCAACAGTATTGATTGACAGGCGAGGCATTACTATCCGCCTCTGCCGCAACTTTTGAGTTCTCGCACTATTTTGGAGTTCTCGTGGGGATTTCCGGGGATTCTCCGAGAGTTCCCATTGGTTGGGGAAGTGCAGGAGGAGGGATTTCCGGGAGAGATATTTCCGGCTGGGGGTTCCTGGACAAGCCTCATGGCGTTCGGGAGGATTCCCCGGGAGCTGTGTGAAGTGTTTTCCTGCAGTTCAAAAATAAAGTTTGTTCCTGCTTCAGTGGCTCGTGATTTGTGCCCAGCCAGACTGCGGCATACATATACATACCCCATTGCTTATTAACCGTGGTGATAATGATAGCTAGTGCCCACCTGCAGTAAGAGAGGACCGCTCCACTGCCCTCCAAGTTCTATTCAGAGTTTGAGCTCCTCAACCAAGTTATGTGTTGTTGGCAAAATAAATGCCCGGGGCATTGCGTGTTCTCTGTGGATGATGTGTGTGCGGGGGCAGGTCTGTTGGAGCACGGGCAGAGCCTGAGAAAACCCAGGCACTGCTCATCCTGCCACAGGCCTGGTCTTTTGGGGTGTACGGAGTGTCTGTTTCGGGAGCCAGGAACCAGATGGCTGGAAAACAGGTATTTTATTTCATCTGTGATTTACTTCTTGCTTCCTAGTGGCATTGGCTGGGCTGCTGGGCTCTCCCAGCCCTGTTCCGCCTGGTCTCAGAGGCTGCTCAGGGAATAGTTTATTCTCATTTACTTTATGTACATCCTGTAAATTTAGCACCAAGACCTGCTGTCAAGTAGCCTGCGTTTTCCGTTTTCCAAATTTTGGTGTCTTGTTGTCATTTGAATTCATTTTAGCTGTTTCTATTTTCTTAGTTTTTCAAATCCCTGCCCTACTTTAAGGAACCTTAACTTGATTTGAGGAAATAAGTCTTGGGTATTGAAGACAGAGTTTTTAGGTAAAATTGTTTCTTTCGTGCATTGTAGAGGTGGGTATGCATCTTGTACGTTTGTTGTAATAATATAAAATTTCTCAACTAATAACCTATACACGCACATAATCATGTGTATATTTTACCCGCTATCTGGCCCGTAGATTCATAAGAGCATTATGGCAAAGGGAAAGTGGTAGATATTTTTTCTTTCATTTTATACTTAAATAAATAAATGAATAATGAATAAGCATGCCATTTGTCTGTAAAAAAATTAATGACTTTTTTTAGTGATAACTTTTAAATATATATTCCTGATGAATAAACTTCATAAATACTGTACCAATATATTATGAGCTGGATTTCTATAAGGAGATGGTAGTTATCAGATTTTTCTTGAAACAAGGTGAGGAAAACAGAAGAGGGGTGCAACTCATTCATTTTACCCCTGCTGGGTGTTTATAGGCCTGCTCTGTCCTAGCGGATGGGCCCCACTGTATCTCACATGATGCCCTGTGCACTGTCAGGCCATAGGCACAAAGGGGACAGGTGAATCTGTGTCACCAGAATGGGGTCTGGACACTGCAGACCTCTGCTGCTGATGTCTTCTACCAGGGAGGAGCGCGTGTGGTCAGTTCAGCTGTCTTTGTCCAGGCTGCTCTCTTTACCCGCCTCCAGGTGGCCACCCATCAGGTCCCTGTTGCCCTAGGCAGCTCCTGTAACACGTCCCTCTGCTGACTTGTTTACTGTTCCCTCTCCGACTTAGAGGTTCCCTGTGGTAGGGGCTGTCTTAGTGGTCTTAGGTCATCAGTGGTTGGCACAGTACCTGGCACGTGCCCAGTGTAGGATCACGGCTGATGAATGAATAAGCCAACTGCATGATGTATTAGGGTTCTCCAAAGAAACAGAGCTGGCGGGGTGTAGGTGGTGGGGGAAGAAGAAAGGAGGAAGTGGGGGTGGGGTGGGGGGAAAAGAGAGATTAAGGAATTGACTTACGTGATTGTGAGCCTCCCCCAAATCAGTGCGGAGGCAGCCAGGCTGGAGAACCAGAAAGAGCCCATGGTACAGCTCAAGTCCAAAGGCTGGTGGAATTTCCTCTGCACAGGGGATGTCAGTCCTTGATTCTCTTGAGGCCTTTAACTGATAGGATGAGGCCCACCCACATTATGCAGGGCTACTATCTACTCTACCAAACGTCCCCCAATTTAAATGTAAATCTTATCCAGAAACACCCTCACAGAAATAATCAGAGGAATGTTCAACCAAATATCTGACCACTGTGGCCAGCCTAATTGACACATAAAAAGAACCATCATACGTGATTTAATCACATTTTAAATAGGCAGTGCCTGATCACTTTGCTGGCATCTCTGAAGTTATCACTTCCGCGGGGGAATGTTTAACTGGCTGTAATGTATTTTACCCAGACAAATATTCTAACGCTGACAAATGTTGGTGTCAGTAAAATAATAGATCGCTCTTCTGTTTCAACTCTAATTCCCAAACTGATATGTAACATAAAGTCAGAATCAACGCTAAGAGTAGGCAGTTGTTTTCTTTCAGATATCTGATGACCAGGGATGGAAAATTCAGTATGGTTAT